TTTCTTTCGTGTGAACTGTTCTTCCAATTACCATCAAACGTTTTTTTTTTCCTTTTTCATAATGTGGCGAGTTTGCATACTATATGCAGACTTGTCGCTGTAGATGAAGGGGCGTGTCAGGCGGGATAGGTTTGGCGCAGCGCTAAACCCGTTCTTCACCAGTTGTTGAAGCGGGTGAGTGAGAGCAGTTGATGGAAAGCGACTGATACGAACGATATGATACAGTCTTGTCGCTTGCTCGCTTCAACAACTGGTGAAAAAGGGGTTTGGTGCCGCGCCGAACCCATCCCGCCTTGACACGCCCTTTCATCCGTAGCGAACAAGGCTGTACAACTTCTGATTCATGGGAGGAACAATCCATTTTGAAAATTCTGTTTTGTTTTGAACTTTGACGGTCTCAAGAAGTCTGCTAAGTGCGAAGCCACCGTTAACGTCCCTTCTTTTTTCTCTCTTCCTCCTTACCGTTTTCTTCAGTAACTCTGCGACAATCTAATGTTTCTGTACTCTCACAGCAAGAGGGAATTACTTTGACAGATACATTGTTACCTGCTTCGGCTGTACCAATGTGTGCTCCTGATAGAAATGTATCCTTTGCGCAGACTTTCCTATTCAGGTGTGAGCAGGTTCGTTCTGAATACGAGGACAAATCATCATATCTGAAGTCACCCGATCTAACACTAACTGGACGCGAGGTTCACTACCTTGGGAAAAATGGAGAGCTTCTTGGTGCATCTTTGGCCTCTCAGGGTACCAGGAGAGGAGGAGCTGTTGTGAGTGCTATTTGTTTTCATTGTAAGGTTTTTCTTATACTTTTGCAAATTTATAGGTTTGCGCTCCACTGATGCGGTTTCACAATACAAGTGCATACCCTCAAGGCGTTTGCTATGAGTTGAACTCCGATCTCACTTTGGGCGGTACGTACACGACTTGTCTCCAGAAGAATCTTCCCAAGCTCGATCGGCACAACGAATACGGAGCATGCATGGAAGGATTCTCAGCTGCTATTTCTGAAGTAAGTGGAAAAGTATTTTCAAGAGCCGTGCTCATTGGCAGTATGATCAGATAGCGAGGCTCTATCGGCCCGGTTTTTGTGTCTTGTGAAAGGACTCATCTTTGGTGCCTTTTCTCATTACTTGATAAAGAAAATGTGTCGGCAGCGTTACTGCCGTTCCCTTGTAAATTATGCCTGTATTCTTTTTGCCGTTAACTGTTTACCTTTCAGAACGTTATGGTGACTGGATTGATTGGTGCAATGAAGTGGACAGGTGGAGTGTACGCACGCAAAGCCGAGGGAGGAATTTTCGGCACCACTGTAAGTTTTATTCCTCAGAAAAGTGTGCCAACTGGCTCCACTTGGTCGGGGCTCATTCCCTCGGTAGAAGAATTCAAGTCAGCAGGAAAATTATGAAAGTCGAGAAAGTTGTTCTGGAGGCGTTCCCCGATATGAACGGTTGGGAGCTTTTTATATTTTCTAGCACTCTTGAACCAACGTCATATTCTTGCTAACTGTTTTTGTTCTGCTCTTTTCTAGATTCTTTGGGTCTAGTGTGATTATTTTTGTGCAGATCGAAAAATATACAATGGCGCCCGAAGAAGGAGGAGTAAGGACAATGCTGGCTGCTCATGATTACCTTGGTTATTCGGTGGACGTTGGGCGATTCGGATTCTGGTGAGTTCGTGAGTTCTACCGCCCGAAGTATTCTTGTCTGCAGTTCATTGCTCTGCGGTTCTTTTGAGTCCCTTGGTGTTGTGAATACCACTAAGTAGTTTGAAGTACTTATTCTAGGTATGAAAATGGAGAGAAGGCCACAATAGTTTCTGGCGCCACTCGATTTGGGCAACATGGAGCTGTGGTATTTCTTCCTTTCACCAAGGTATGCATGTTCCGCTTGTGAAATAAACTAATTGAGATCTCACTTTCAGCGTTCCTTTTTACTAGACTTCTGATTATTTGTCCCTAGTTGTCCATTACTTATTCTCTACCTTTCGCTTGAAATTGATTTTATGCTTGTGACCGTTTTGTACAATTTCTAGGAGCGTGGAGACCTGCTGACGTTCACGGAAGATAGATTTGTAATAAATGGCACTAAAATGGGATCAGCGTTTGGCTACGCGATTGAGGTTGTTGACCTGAATAACGACGGGTTAGTCTTTCGTATTTTTCATCTAATTGTAGGGGTTGTGAAATCCAATTCGACCGTTTTCAGATTTGACGATCTGATTGTCGGCGCTCCTTTCGAGCATCGAGCTGATGCTGATGGGCATTTTGGTGGAATAGTTTATGTTTATTTCTCACAAGGAAAACAGCGTCAAAAAGTACGGTCGCGTTGTTATGTTAGCACTTCTTCACATTTCACATGAAATGTTCCTCTATAGGGTGAATCATCGAAAGTTTTCCATTCTCCGATCATTCTGAAGGCACCCGGATTTTTCTCTCAATTCGGTCTTTCGATAACAAAGCTCGGAAATCTTGACGGCGACAAGCGTGGTTACAACGGTATGATTTTTCAAGAGTTAGTTTGGCTTTTGACAATGTTCTTGGGCAACAATACCTGTGCTCCAGATTTCGCTGTCGGTGCTCCATTTGCCAATGACGGAAAAGGAGCTGTATACGTGTACCTTGGTGAGAAGTCCAAAAAAGAGTTCAGAAAAACACCCGCTCAGGTGGGATTTCCATTATCATATGATCTACAGTAAAGTTTGAAATTTTGTTTCTGCTGATCACCAAACAATTTTCCCTGTCCTTTCAGAATTTTGTTTCAATTTCTAAGTTATTTATCTTAGGTTATCATGAGTTCCGATCTGCCAAATCTCCGCCGTCCGGTAAAGTCGTTCGGATTTTCTTTATCTGGTGGCTCTGACCTTGACAGCAACGGTTATCCTGATCTCGTTGTCGGAGCGGTCACTGGAGAAGTTGTCACGATATTACGGTCAGCGCTAGAATTACTTTGTTGTGGCTCTTGTGCATATGCTTTATTTATTTCAGATCACGACCTGTGATTAGCATCATGGCCTCGCATAAGACAGCAAGTCCATTTATTGATATTGAGAAGGGTAGAAACTGTCCGCGAGGTGCCAAAACATGGTAGGGTCTGATACTGTAAGGCTGCATTCATACTTTGCTACTCGAGAGAATGGCAGGGTGTTGAGGACAATCCGCGCAACGTGAAAGTGTAGGTATTGATCTGGCGCTTGAGAAGAATGCACGCCAAAGAAAAAGACGGGGATCGACGTTCTTCTATTCTCCTTAGTCGCAAAGTATGAACGCGCTAACATACTACTGTAAC